TGATCCCACCCTGATCCCATACCCTGATCCCACAGTGATCCCACACCCTGATCCCATACCCTGATCCCATACCCTGATCCCACCCTGATCCCATACCCTGATCCCACACTCTGACCCCATACCCTGATCCCACACCCTGATCCCACACTGATCCCATACCCCGATCCCACACCCCGATCCCATACCCTGATCCCACACCCCGATCCCACACTCTGACCCCATACCCTGATCCCACACTCTGATCCCATACCCCGATCCCACCCCGATCCCATACCCCGATCCCATACCCTGATCCCACACTCACGCCTGCACTCGGGGGCAGCTCCGCTCCACGCCAGCCTGTCGCCATCCTGGGAGGTGCAGTAGATGGACTCGTCCCCGATGAGGGACAGCCCCTCTGCACAGCTGTACTTGACCTCAAAGCCGTAGGGGAACTGCTTGACCCCCAGGGCAGAGTGCTGCCCGCCGGCGATTTTGGGAGGGGGGTCGCACACTGGGTGAGGTAAAGGCAAAGCTCAGGTTCTCCTCATCCGTGGGGAGGCAGAACACAGGGGGTGACACCAGAGGCTCCCCGAGCTCTGCCAGAGCTGCTCCTCGCAGTTCTCCTGGCCCTGGCCAGCTTTGGCTGTGCCAGCATCGCCAGCGTGACCCACTGAGGTGCAGCCATCCCTCAGCCCCTTCCTTATCCCCTCCTCTTTTCCATGAGAAACCATCCTGCTCCTGAGCAGGGTCAGGGAACGGGGAGCACCCGAAACCTGCTGAGGAATCCTTGGAGAAGCGGCTGCGAGCCCCATTAACCAGCACCTTTCATCCATCCCAGTTTCGGTGGGAGATGGAAATGCTGAAACCTTCAGTGCTGTGGGTTGGGCGCCTTCTCCTCACACCTGACACGATTTTCTCCCCGGGGATGGAATTGGCAGCCCCGCTGCCGCTGTCCCCACTCACCCCTGTCGCAGTAGGGCACGGGGGGTCTCCACATCCCCTCTGCCAGGCACTGCACCCTCTCGCTGCCCCTGAGCGCGAAGCCAGGCTCACACTGGAACTCCAGCTGCTGCCCGAAGGTGTAGGAGGCTCTCCTGGGGCTGGCCTCTCTCCCGTGGGGGATGACCGGGCTGGGACACTGCACCTCTGGGGAACAGCAGCATCGGAGAGGAGAGATTTGCACCGAGGGATCCCCAGCACTGCGGCTTCACCGAGCCAGGACACCTCTGAGCAGAGCCGGCGGGCTCGGGGCTGGGAATTACAGGCTAACAACCATTTCTCCATTTAAGATGCAGAAGGACGTGAGAGCCCCGCGATCAGGCAGAAATTGTGCTGAGGGGATGGCCCTGCCTCCCTGAATCCTCCTTGGAGCCGCTAAATAACCCAGGGGAGCTGCGGCTTTTCCTTTCCGGCTGCGCCACCCTTTGAGCAGCAAAATCACTGCCAGGGAGTATGGATGCTAAATCTGAACCACAGTGCCTGTACAGATTACAGGCTGCATGGCTCCTCAGGCTGCCTGAGAAAGTAGCCTGGGAAAAATATATGAGAAGGAATTAAAACAATTCTCAGGGACGCTAAACAGCCTTGCAGGTGTTGTTTTGCAGCCTCTTGTTTTCCCTTGCAGGAGAGGGTCAGGGGGGTTGTGAGCCCCTGACCAATGATGGTGATGTAGCACTTTGCTAACCAGGAAGAGTTTCCTTTCTGTACTTTCCACGTATCTGTCTATAAGACAGGCCTGAAGCAATAAACCAGAGAATTCTCGTGTTGAAACTCCCTTGAGAGTTTTGTCATTCTTTATAGCTGTTCCCAGTCGGAACGACAAGGGAGAGCCGGAGAAATCCCGCTGGATTTGGGAAAGCGAAGGGAGCGATGGACTCACTCTGGCACAGCCGGGGCACCGAGGACCACGTGAAGTTCTGAAGACAGCTGATGGTTGGGGACACGCCGGGGACCGGGGAGAAGCCGAGCCTGCAGGAGTAACTCACGGTGCTCCCAACCGGGAACTCCCGGCGGGGCTGGGGATCGGCGAATTCCACAGGGGGAGGGTGGGGACACTGCCCTGGGGACAGAGATGGGGACACAGAGCTGGGGACACTGCCCTGGGGACAGAGATGGGGACACAGAGCTGGGGACACAGAGCTGGGGACACTGCCCTGGGGACAGAGATGGGGACACAGAGCAGGGGACACAGAGCTGAGGACAGCACAGACCCCCAGCACTGCCCTGGGGACAGAGATGGGGACATCACAGAGCAGGGGACACAGAGCTGGGGACACTGCCCTGGAGACAGAGATGGGGACACAGAGCTGGGGACACTGCCCTGGGGACAGAGATGGGGACACAGAGCAAGGGACACAGAGCTGGGGACACTGCCCTGGGGACAGAGATGGGGACATCACAGAGCAAGGGACACAGAGCTGGGAACACTGCCCTGGGGACAGCACAGACCCCCAGCACTGCCCTGGGGACAGCTCAGACCCCCAGCACTGCCCTGGGGACAGCACAGACCCCCAGGACTGGCAGCTTTTCTTTGATGGAAAACCCCCCAAAAACAAGTGAGGGACAGCAGCACCCCCGAGCGTGGCTGTGGAGTGCGTGGGGTGAAAGGAAAGGGAAAAACAGCGGGGAAAATTCACCTGAGGACATGAACGGGGTGAGAATCTTTATTCTCGCTCACTTTGGTACCTGCTGGGTGTCCCCTGCAGGAGGGGACAGCCCCGCCACGCTCCCCAGGGCCATCCCAGAGGGAATCCTGCTGACTCCCACCCTCCGACCCCGCTCCTTCTCGGGGAGCAGCAGGTGGCAGGGGCCAGGAGGGGGGTGTGAGCTCACCTGGCACGCAGGAGGGCACCCGTGGGTACCAGCGGCCGCCGGGTGTGCAGCGCACGGTGCTGGCAGCGCCCAGCGGCACAAAGCCGGGCTGGCAGCGCAGAGTGGCCGGGCTGCCCCAGGTGAAGTTCTGAGCGGAGATCAGCTGCCCGTTCTCAATGGCAGGGATGGGACACTGAGCCCCTGTGGAGCACCAAAACACAAAAATGGATTTTTTGGGGGTGCTCTGGCACCGCAGTGAGCAGTGGGATGGGGCTGAGAGGAGCCAGAGCTGCGCGGTGCTGCAGCGACGGAGGCTTTGGGGGTGAATAAATGTAAGATATTCCTCGGGGTGTGGACGGTCTGGTATGGATGCTGACTCTGAAACAGAGAGCACGGTGCCTGTGGAAATTGCAGGCCACATAACTTCCTCAGTCTTGCCTGAGAAAGCGGCCTGGGAATTCATGGGGAGGAATTAAAACAATCCTCAGAGATAAAAAACAGCCTTGCAGGTGCTGTTTGTCCATTTCTTGTTTTCTTGCAGGAGAAGGTCGAGGGGTGGTGAACCCCACTGACCAATGATGGTGATGTGGTAGGTCACTAACCAATACGAGTTTATTTTCTGTACTTTTCACCTATCGGTCTATAAAAAAGACCTGAGGTTATAAACCAGGGGGAAATTCTCCTGATCCACTCCCAGGAGAGTCTGTGTCGTTCTTCTCGCCACGACAGTCTGGGACACAGCAGAGACCTCTCCATAGCAGAGTCAGATGTTGGGAGTTTATTTCAGGGCATGGGTGAGAGATCCAACAGATGAAGCTCAAAACAGGCTCAGAGGGAACATTAGAAAAAGGGGTAGAACATGAAAACATGAGTTAAGAAAGAGTAACAGGACAGAAGTGAGAGAGCCAGAAAAAGAGGAAGAAGAAGAGTGAGCTCTCCTTTACAATTGTTTATATAATCTATACATTGAATATTCTATTCCTTCACCAACCAATCTTTATAAGAATACTAATACAGTAACATTGGTGTGTGATCTATAGAAATCACTGCTTTTGCATATTTTTAGTTAAATCAGGGTACTTCAGACCTTTCCTTGTAAGGCTGGGGAGAGGGGTCTCAGCTTAGTTTTACTGGGGGAAAATGTGTTCTGCCATGCCAGACCGGTATTTTTTAATTATTCAAACCATTCTTTCATTTGTATTTCTTCCTTAGCCTCTCTGGCTAGGGAATCACATCTATAATTCCTTTCTGATTCTGCCTTTCCAACAAATAAACATCCTGAACCTGCAGGGTTTCCTTCCTGCACCATCAAACCCCTTCTCTGCCCTCCCCTTGGGGCACTGCAGTGACCCAGCCCTCGTGGGTGACTCTGGGGTGCAGCAGCTCCCTCCAGCCGTGCAAAAAAAGATGCTCTGGGCACATCTGTACCACCTCTGGGCACACCTGCATCACCTCTGGGCACATATATACCACCTCTGGGCACATCTGCACCACCTCTGGGCACATCTGCACCACCTCTGGGCACACCTGCACCACCTCTGGGCACACCTGCATCACCTCTGGGCACATCTGCACCACCTCTGGGCACACCTGCACCACCTCTGGGCACATCTGCACCACCTCTGGGCACACCTGCACGTGTGTCCCAACAGAAAACTCCTCATTCCACGTCTGCCATGAGAAACACCTGGGGGCTCATCACAAATAACAGAGAAATCAGAACTCCAGCAGCTCTAACTGGGATTTCTTCATGCCTGGCAGGTCACCAAGGCGGAGTTAAAAACAAGTTTGAACATCCTGGCTCACATCCAGGTGCTGCAGCGTGCCACACCTGCGCCGTGCCAGGGCAGGGCCACCGATGCTGCCTTTGGTGCAGTCCCCATGGAAAATATCTTGGGAAAGATCTTGTTTGCGTCTCCTCCGGGCCCCAGATTAATTATTGGCACCTCATTAGTAGCGTTTGGCTTTGGGAAATGAGCTGAGAAGCACCAGAAGTAAAAGCAATAAATATTAAGAATGAAGCCAGTGTGCACAGGCAGTGCTGGTGCAGGGAGAGGCTGGGACGGGCTGTGCACCCTGCAGAAGTTTCTGGAAAGTTTTGGGTTTAACCAAACCTCCAACTTCTAGACAGAAACTGGTGTTTATTTCCCTTCCCAGAGACATCCATTACTCAGCAGATTTGCACTTCTCCAGTTCTGAGGTCAGCTGGGGGATTCTGGCCGTGCCCCAGCTGCCCTGAGCATGTCTGGGGGCTGAGGCATCACAGAATCGCTCAGAGAATCATGGAAGGGACATTAAACCCCAGCCAGAGCCACCCCTGCCATGGCAGGGACACCTCCCGCTGTGTCCCAGGTGCTCCAAACCCCATCCAACCTGTCCTGGGACACTTCCAGGGATCCAGGGCTGCTCTGGGCACCTGTGCCAGGGCCTGCCCACCCTGCCAGGCAACAATTCCTGCCCAAAATCCCATCCAAACCTGCCCTTATTCACCTTAAACCCATTCCCCTTTCCCCCCCTCTCCATTCCTGGTGCAAATCCCCTCTCCAGCCCTCCTGGAGCCCTTCAGGCATTTCAAGGCTCAGTCAGCTCTTCCCAAAGCCCTGGTGGAAGGAGAGCAGAGCTCCAGGAGAGGGGAGGACTCACCCCGAGTCCCTGGTGGCTGCAGCAGCAGCAGAGCCATCAGTGCCAGGAGCTGTCCCAGGGCTGGGGACATGCTGTGGGACAGGAGACAGAGCAGCTCCTCTGTCCCCAGAGCCACCAGGGAACGGGAAACAGCAGCGGGAAGTTGGGGACAGGCCAGACACGCCACTGACGCCACCCCCAGCCCTGAGCTCCCCAGCTGGGCTGATAATAAATGAAATAAATAAGTAATAAAATAAATAATAAAATAATTAATAAAGGTGTTTCATGGCCTGGCCTCATCTGAAGCTCATTTCCACCCAGGGCAGGTGGGGTGTGGGGTCAGGCTGCTGTGAGAACATCCCCCACATCCCTGCACTCATGGAACAGCAGCTAATTGAGCTGTTTCTTTACATACACTGGGAATAAACCCATTTATTAGATACACTTTATATATTATTCATATTTATCTATTTATATTTATATTATTTTATATTTTATATTTTATATTTAAAACTTTATATTTTATATTTTATATTTTTTCCTTTATACTTTATATTTTATATTTTTTCTTTTATACTTTATATTTTATATTTTATACTTTATTTTTTTTTATTTTATATTTTATATTTTATACTTACACCCATGGGTGGGGACATCCAGGTGCCATCAGCTGAGCAAATGGTTTTGGGAGCTGTCCCTAAGTGTTTTTGAGGGGTTTTTGTAAATTATTTCCAAGTGGGAATGCATTGCCGTGACAGGAGGTTTGTGTTGGGCTTGTTGTGAAATGTGGGATAAATCATAAATATATAAATAAATCAATTATATCAAATCAGGATGTTCTTTGAGGTCGGGTCTTTGTCCACTTTCGAGCCTAATCAGCAAGAAAAGAGAATTAATCAGTGGAGCAGGCACAGATTCACCCCCAGCTCAAGGAGCTCCAGGGATAACTCAGGATGGCGATGGAGACTTTGCCAGCTTGGCAGAATCCTGGCGGTCCCTGTGTCCTGTGGAACCCCAGAACGGTTTGGGATGGACGGGACCATGAATCTCATCTCGTTACACCCCCTCGGGATCCAGATGTGCAGGGGATGTGGGATGGGGGTGGGCGGATCCAGATGTTGCCCCTCCTCCGCACTACAACTCCCACAATGCTCCGCGCTTGGCTCCACCCGCACTACAACTCCCACAATGCCTCGCGCTCCCCGCCAACCGCCCCTCCGCATCTGGCGCATGCGCACAGCTCCATATGGCTCCAAGATGGCTGACACAGCGTCCGGTGGCTCCGGCACGGTAACGGCACCAAATCCCCGGGGCGCGGGGCCGTG